GAGAGAGAGAGAGAGAGAGAGAGAGAGAGAGAGAGAGAGAGAGAGAGAGAGAGAGAGAGAGAGAGAGAGAGAGAGAGCGTGTGTGTCACTAGAACATGGAAATATACACTGCCACATTTTTGTTCTCTGGCAGTGTATATTTCCATGTTGTGGCAGTGGATACTTCCATGTTCTACGGGAAGATTCAATCCCACTTTGCTTATTTGGTGAAGTGTGGCAATGTAGGTCTGTGTGTGTGTGTGTAGGATGAGCAAAATTGGAATGAATCTTCATCCAGAACATGGAAATATACACTGCCACAGTGCCACACTTCTTTATTTTTATTTTTATTTTTTTTCATGTGTGCATCAACTTAGCAGCGTGCCAATGTGCATATTGAGAACGAATCTTCCGCAAAACCATAGGAAGATACACCGCGACGGACAGATACATTGAAAAGAAATCCCGGTGTGAGTATTGACTAAGGAGCTGTCAGATGCAAATGTCGTCTCTCTCTCTCTCTCTCTCTCTCTCTCTCTCTCTCTCTCTCTCTCTCTCTCTCTCTCTCTCTCTCTCTCTCGCCCCCCCTCCTCCCCTGCTCTCACCCCACCTTTCCCCCCTTCCCCCACCCTTGCCCCCCCCTTCCCCCACCCTCGCCCCCCCTCCTCCCCTGCAAAACGTGTTGTGGCAGGGATCACCCTTTCCCAACAAATGCCACCCCATACTTAACGTCAATGCTATCAATCGTCTGTGTGTTGGAAGAGGCAACCAGACCGTGATTTGTGGTGCGTCTGACAGGGCCAAATGAACAAAAGAAGAAAGAAATGTGCTCTGCTGCGGGCGGCCCGGTGCTACAAATTCCCTCCTGCACACCCCCAAAGGAGACGGACAGACTACGATTCAGGGCCTGGCCGAACGAACAAGGAAAAGGCAGGTGCACCACCACCATTGGGCATGCCGAGTCCCTCAAAAAAGAAAATAAACGAAAAAAAGAAGCCGCACTGGCGAAATCCGAGCCACCCTATTCTTCAGCCATGCTGGACCTATGATTGATTCCTGAGCTGACGCACTAGCACAATGGCATCCACACTGGACCTATGATTGATTCCTGTTGGCACATGCACACACAGTTGTGTATAGCGGACATGACAATGAAACCACACCCACACACTGACACACACACACACACACACACACACACACACACACACACACACACACACACACACACACACACAGAGACACACACGCGCGTGCGCATACTGTATATACAGGCACAGCAGTAGGGGGTATAAAATACAGGTTCATAAATTGGCACAGGAAGAGGGTGGAGGATTCAAAAGTTGCTAGTCAGTGGTCTCCATCAGATCCAAAGGGTCAAGGCTGCTCTTGGCGATCCCCATCTTTCCATTCCTCTTTCATTTCAACAACAAAAGAGGGAAAACACTGAAGAGGACACATCTCATAACCTTAGACAATTACCTCCTGTACTCACCAATCTGAGTAGAATCTCCCTCTTCAAGGCTGGGGTTGGCCCGTCAAATGCGAAGCTTGCAAAGAGACACTGATAATGTAAAACGTGCCACTTACGCATGCCATCCAAAAGAGCAAGAATATTTTTATAACAAGGTAATTGCACTCTTTACCTTGGTACGGCTTCACTCTCCCCTTTCCACAAAAAGAAAACTGGGGAACAGTGCATCACGCGTAAAATCATTCTTGCAGCAAAACCAGATAAAACCATAGCTTCAAAAACAAACCTCAGTGGTAGAAACTCCCAGCCACTCACCTGCTTTACTTCTTACGACGGTGGCCGCCGATTCATATGTGTGAAGCAGCATTGAAACCATCCTCCACGGGACAACAAATGAATCAAGTCATGGAAGCAGCATTGAACCACCACCACGAGGCAAGGTGCTGGTCAGCCAATTCCCTTCTTGGGGGTCTGTCGCAATGGAAACGAGGACGCTGCAGCGCACTTCCAAGACACCAAAGCGATCAGCTCAGAGCACGTGAAAATAGGCCTGTTGCAAGGAAACTGATCGGGGACCAGTACGATCCCAGCTGGTGCAGGTGGGTGGCCAGTGCACGGCATCCAACGACTCTCGTCATGATGCGCATTGCTGACACTGGCCATGCTCTATCCATTTGGTCATCGTCATTTCAAGATGACGCATCGTAGTCTTCAATGCCAATCTTAGTCCAGGTAGTTTTTCATCCACCCTTTTTACTACAGCAGGCTCGCCAGAGTTTACACTTACAGTGATGACTCACTTGAAGCGGAAGGAGCCGCAGAGGCTGCAAGTGAAGCCCTCACCTTGCCTCTACATCCTTGCAAGGGAGTCGGGGATCTGGGAGTTGTTTCTCCGCGGCAATGCACCTGGTCAGTGATGAAACCCGAAACAAGGAGGAAGCATTCCCCTCCGTAGTATTCCAAATGCCATCATTTTGAGTCCGTGCTGCCCTCTGATGTGCAAAATCCTCCTCTGTTCCTTCCAATCGCTCGCCTTCTCATTCACAACTTCGACGCTCTAGCATCCAGCGGCAGGAACTGCTGTCGGAGTGAATTGTAGCAATCCGTGAAGCTCTCAAACGCTTCAGCACAGTCAGACCGTATAAAGGCAGACTCACACATGGATTGTATTGGCTAATGTCTTCACCCGAATAGAACGCCCTGTCATTATCACCGCACCTGGACCGAAACTTGCACCAAATACAGCTATAATGACTGGGCGTTCGATCGGGGTGAACATGTTGCACCAAATACAGCTATAATGACTGGGCGTTCGATCGGGGTGAACATGGTAGATCGGGCTCCGATCGCGATCAGGAAACATTTCAAAAAGTCCCGAGTGCGAGCATGGCCCAAGAGAATCTCACTGCTTCTGCTCATTACCTGACTTGGTGTTAAGATGGGTCCTTAGCAGACCAGCTCCATAAGACACTGGCAAGGAATAACAGCAGTGCATCGTCAGCCGTAAGTAGTGTTCAACAATGCCAAACCAAGGCATTGCGCGACAATCACCAACCATTTTTTCTCGTGTGGCCGTGTCCAAGATACTTGTCATCCAGTGGACGTCAGCTGCAGCCATCAATCGACTCATGCCTTCGCTCTCACCGTGCCGCAACTCACACAATGCATTGCAGTTCTCTCTGATGGTTTTGGACCAAAGGTCGTATAACGTCCTGCCATTGAAAAGATGGGCTTGCTCGGAGACGGAAGATAGGCCAGCGTCACAAACATCCTCAGAATCCCCTGAGGGGAAACATACGACTGAATGAGAGCAGATCGCAAACCTGACCTGCCAACCACCAGGTTTATCTGCCCGATCCTTTTTGAGAGTCGTTGAGATGATCTCGTCGACCTGTCATTGAGAGAAGCCGAACTTTTCCAGAATTCCCTGAAAGCGAAATCATCACGCACAGCAGATGGATAAACGCTCAGCTTCACGTGCCCTTTTAGGGCATACTCACATTACCATCCTCACCCAAATAGAAGTTCGCCTGGTCATTATCACTGTATTTGATCCAAAACTTACCCCAAATTTCCCCCAAATACACCCGTAACGACAGTGGGTTCTGTTCGGGTGAATACGGTAGGACTTTATATGATCCATCTGACCTCATTTACGGCCAGATTCATCCCAGTTAAGTACTGTCATCCTTATGCCGTACTATGTCCTTAATCATCCCTTCTACTCTTTACCATTTCGCATTCACAGATGCCAGCTACACAATGTCACTGAGGGTCTCACTCCACTCCTCTACACTAAACAAACTGGACTTAAAATGGACCAGATACATTCCGACTGATCAAATATTTTTAACGTATGGAGACCACTTCTAGCTCCAGATGCATTTACGACGTTATGCAGTGGAGCAACGCCCTGACACCCGTCACAGACATGCTGCAGTCAGAAAGCATAGATTTAGGGCTTGGTGCCTCAGAACCAGAATCGCACACTCTGACGAATCGGCCACCAATGCCCACCAAGCCTGTTAGTATGACCATATCTCTCTTTCTAGTCCACTGGAACCATCCCCCCATACACAATTACAGGTCCCTACAAAATTAGGGATGCTGCGATACATTTCTAGCATACTCTGACAAAGGCTGTGTTAACTTCTTATTCTCTTTTTTTTTGGAGCGATTCGCCGATTTCTCCATTTATGCGTGTCAAATTGTCAATCGCTGTATGCGCAGGGGCCATGCTAATCTTCTATGCATTGTTTCAATTTTGATGGATGTCCTGGAGCACACAAATGATGCTTTAAGTATTTTCCCCAAAGCAGCGAAAGGGTGAATTATTTGGACAAAGTGCCACAAACAGATCTCCATAACCAAGTCAAAAGTCGGGAGCTCCGCATAGTTAACCACACACACACGCTGCCACGGGGTATGGAAAGACATAAAGAAGTTACTTCTGTACCAGATGGCATCACACAGTTTGCAAGTCCTCATTGCTTAACAACTGCGGCAGAAGTCATTCCATCGCTCCCCCGCAAGTTTCGAATGGGCGAGCTGGGCAGGGCGCAGCGCACTGGGTTCAATGATATAGGGGTGGGGCCAGCCACAAAGGTTATGCCGCTCGGCATCGTGTTTTGACAAAACTGATGCTGGTCTTCCCTGCTGATTGTTGGCACCAACACATTCCACGAGCATCCATCAAATCGTGCATGCTTTCCAACTTGCAAGGAGTGTGACAACCAGAACCTTTGAGCGGGAACGGAACACTGTACTATATGCCCTGTCCACATGGAGGCAGTGTCTGCAAACTCGACAACACAGCCAAAATTACTGGACGACCGGCGACGTGGTCTGTTTAAATCAACGTATCTGACTCCCAATTGACGCACAACAAAGGGAGGTACAGTACAACTGCATTCCAGACGCATCATCATGACGACAAGACGTCATGGGTGTCAGAATGCCAAAGGTGTCTATGCGAGGTAACCGCAGATTTGGAAAAAAAAGATCCAGTCCTTCGGGACATCTGTTAAAATTGGAACAGTAGTTACAATACAGAGAAGATTAGCATGGCCCCTGCGCAAGGACGACACGCATAAATCGAGAAATGGTCCAAATTATTAAAAAAAGAAAAAAAAGAAAAAAAAAAGAACGGGCTTTTTGTTAATTTCTAATCTGCAGCAGAAGTACGCAACCAGCATTCAGGGAGTTTCACGACTTCAGTTCAGTGTTCACCGATGAGCTCCGGCAGGCGATCAAATCCCAAATGGCAAAAGACCAAGAGTTCATACCTGCAATACCGAATAAACAACATCGTGTTGTCGTTGTTTTGAGAAGTGTGTGTGGGTGACTACCGTCTTAACCCGAAAACAAGGTACGTACCTGGTATACAAATAGAAGATATGGTGTACCTTGTAGAACGAATTGTAGGGTGCAACTTTCAGAAGGCAAGAGGGTCGGGGGGGAGAGGGGGGGACGGGAGGGGGAGGGAATAAAAATTATAATAAATTAATTATTCATAATACAATATTAATATTACTGTAATAATAATATCACAAATAGAATACACTCGACCGCTACCAGGACGGGGCTGCAGCCTGCAGCGTGAAGTTCTTTTTTTATCGATTCCACAGCGGCGTGGAGTTCTTGAGCTCGCACGAGGCCTTTGTGCAAGTCGTGAGTGGATTACAGCCAAAAAAAAAGAAGAAAAAAACACCCCAAAATATCTCAGACGAGGAACACCTAGAATACAAGGCACGTTCTTTGTATTCGAGGGTACCTTCTATTCAAAAAAATTACAGCAATTTTTCAGAACCTATTTTTCGGATGTAACTTGACTACAAGGTAGGTACCTTTGTTTTTGGGTTCAGAGTCTTTAGACGGTACTGATGATGAGTCCTCTGTGAAGGGATAAGCTGCCAGAGAAAGTGTGTTTGGGTTGTGGAAAATTCAGCATGTTTTTGGAGATGATCCTCAAGGGCCATCATATTCGGCTGACGTGCTGCCAGAAATCTATGAACGTATCCGTGTCTCATGTGTCAAAGTTGACGCTGTACTACTTACGCTCGAAGATCGCTCGTCAATGGAGTATGAATCTCCAACGATGGACAGATTGGAAGAAGTTGAGCGGACTGTTGCCTTCCGGAATGTACTGCCGTCTTCACCCGAATAGAACGCCCAGTCATTATCGCTGTATTTGGGGCAATTTTCAGTCCGAAGGCAGCGATAATGACGGGGCGTTCTATTCCGGTGAAGATGGTAGATCACCGGGAAGCAAGCAAAGAGACAGCAAACTATACATAGGTAGGGCATACGCACACTTCGGAGTGAGGCCGAGGGAGTGTTCGGACACAGCCCAACTACACTGCTGTGTGTTTTTTGTTTTGTTTTTGCAATGATTGTTGTCGCCAGGACTTGATCCCTGGGCATTAGGACACAGTTTTAGTCATTCCCCTTATAGTACAGCTGATGGTTTTGAGACCTGGGGGGTAGTTTAAAGCACCGGTACACCACACATTGGTCCACGGGTGTCAGCATGAAACCCGCACCACTTCGGAGGCCGCCGATTTATTTTTTTCCAACGGCGCGGAGGACCGCACGGCGCCTCCCAGTTTTGCTTGCGGCGACAAAAACTTTACAAAAACTTGCTGCAAGGCTGGGGCCGTGTACTAGCGGTTTAATATTTCAGCGAACTAGCCCTCCAGGCATCGGAGAGACTGTGGGCAGAAAAGGTTACGAGGCTGCGTGGCTTGCTTTGTCAACACTGTTGCTGGCGAGTTTGTCGATTAATTCCAAGTATCACGAAGTCGAGCAAGCGGAGAGGTGTTTTTGCTTCGCAGCTTGTTGTGGTGAGATGAGGGTGTGGCCATAGCCTGTTTTGAAGTCATGAGATTTGATTGCTTCGATTGTCGTGTCTTCCTCTTGGATATCTGCCTCCCAGGTGGACATACCAACGGGCCTACCGTCTTCACCCGAATAGAACGCCCAGTTCGTTATCGCTGTAGTTAGACTGGAAAATGGCCCAAATACAGCTATACTGACGGGGCGGGTGAAGACGGACGATAGCTCAGTTGGTACACCCACGAACTGTCGAAATAGAATCGCGTCTTCGAATCTGAATGGCTGCTTTGCAAATCTGGGGAGCATCAGCCCCGTTACTTTTCCCCCGGCAAATCAGGTACAGTTCGTCATTGGAAAAGACGCATACTACTCATGCTCCCGTTCGGCAAACTCGCGCATGATTCTAACAGCCTCACAAAATAGTAAAAAAAAAAAAAAAAAAAAAAAAAAAAAAAAAAAAAAAATCCGCGGGGAATAATTCCTTTTTTAACCGGAAATTTATTTCAATTTTTGCACACCCTCTCTATCGATATGACCTCTCTCTTTCTCTCTCCGTGCTTGGCTGGAAAACTCTCTCTCTCTCTCTCTCTCTCTCTCTCTCTCTCTCTCTCTCTCTCTCTCTCTCGCTCTCTCTCTCTCTCTCACACACACACAAAAAAAAAAGAAAAAGAAAATCCCAGTGTTCTAGTGGAAGATTCATTCCGATTTTGCTCATCCTATCGATCGAAGTAGCCTCTATCTCTCGGCGTGCATGGCTGGAAAACTCTCTCTCTCTCTCTCTCTCTCTCTCTCTCTCTCTCTCTCTCTCTCTCTCTCTCTCTCTCTCTCCAGGAAGCATGTTGTCCTCAAATGTAACAGAGAACATTGGAGAGAGAAGATAAGAAGAGGGGAGCCATCTGTCCGGTTGCTTATCACCAGGAATCATGTTGTCCTCAAATGTAATGGAGAGAGAGGATAAGAAGAGGGGGGCAGTCCAGCCCTTGCGGCACTGGACGCCTAAAGAAGGGGGGGCTGCTACAGAGCGCCCAACCCCTAGCCTTGATCCCTCCTAGGGTACTGTTCTACTGGTGGGGAGGCGTACTAGCAGCACCCAGACACGCAGTAGAGCAGCCACCAGGGGAGCATGGCACCGGAGGGTGGCTGTACTGATCAGCCCTTCAGGCTGCTTGCCAGCCCTTCATCGTTTCTTACCATGCCTAAATCATATCCACCCCATATCTACCTACATGTCCATTTCCTTTCCTAGTCCAGCAGTCTGCTATTTCTAGAATGTTGTCATCTCCCTTCCCCCAGTCCATCCTACCATACCATCTCCCTTTGTGTAGCATATCCATACCAAAAGTCACACCAAAAGTCACCCCTGCCCCGACTATACCTGGCCGTAACAATTGGATGTTCCATCTATCAAGTTTCTAGCTTTCAAACTTCATCTTCATCATACTTCATCTTCATCATTACCTTTACCATCCTTTGTTCCATCTATCAAACTTCATCCCTATTTCATACGTCATCCTCGTCATGCTGTATTTTCGTTTTCCTTTTATTCTTCGACAATTTTCCTATGTTTTTTACTTTTTCAAGTTTCTAGCTCCCCCCCNAAAAAAAAAAAAAAAAAAAAAAAAAAAAAATCAAAACATAGAACAGTCACCCCTCAAGCATGCATTGCCCGCACGGGACTTGAAAATGCTACCGTCTTCATCCAAATAGAACGCCCGGTCATTATACATGTGTTTGGGGCAACTTCCAGACCAGATGGAGCAATAATGATCGGGCCTTTTCATTCGGGCGAAGACGTAGGTCCCCCAAGTCCACTTTTTTGGGGTGGCTTGGCAAATGTTGCGCAAGAAACCACACTGCGATAAGGGGCAAGGGAACAAGCTTGCATGGCATTAGGAAAAGAGGGCTTGAAAAAGATACGAAAGAACCGAAAATAAACTTGTCCGATATTGAATCTGAGAATAGTGGCCGAAAAGGGACAATGGAAAAAGGCTTCATGGCACCGTGAAAATACCAATTGATCTTTGATTCCATAAGCAATGCAGTAATGCTCCTGCGCAAATGAGAAACAGAATAGTCAAAAACAAGTTTTCGTCAGGCGTGTGTGTGGTGGGTATTTATTATTCAATAAACAATTGAAGTTATTAAACATTCTTTATCTTTACATGGTGGCTACAGGAAACAATAAAAGCACAAAGTCAGTCACAGGAGAGCAAATACAGTGAAATTTGTAAGAAAGACAATCTGTGAAATGTAGAGGAGCGATACAAGAATACAATAATAGTAAATGTACGGAATAGTACATCGGAATTACTCCTATTTCAGTTGGTTAGGCAAGCAAGTGGCATTTAGGAGGTCGACGGTTTGGTGCCAACCAGCTGAGATAGTCGGCTTGCAACCCCTCATCGGTATTAGTGGGCTCTCTAGTCAACACAGGTGTGAGTGTGTGTGTGAGTGGGTTGTGCGTGGTGTCTGGGAGAGAGTTGGCGTTAGACACTGCTGATACCCGATGGGGGTAGGGGAAGAAGAAAAGGGAGGCACAGGTACAGACAAAAATGCTCGGGCTTTGTGTTAGCCGGGCACCCTTCTCCCTGACGAACCACTGATGGGGCAGGGGGCAACATGCGACCCCTTCATTGAAAGGTAGTCCATTGTATAGCCTTAGAATTAGTGGTAGGTAGGTAGGTAGTGAAAGGTGAATTTGAGAGAAGAATATAGTTCCATCTATTCAAAAAAAAAAAAAAAAAAAGGATCTGAACGGTGGATAGGGTCGCCTTCATATACTTTACCACCTCATGAGGCCTGATCGGCAAGAGACATCCGCTGTCAGCTACTCTCATTGCTTAGTTATGAATCAATGATACAGTGAGATACACAATTTGCCACTCAGAATGACGGGTAAATATTCAGAGAATCAAGATCAGACTACCATCTTCACCCGAATAGAACGCCTGGTCATTATCGCTGCATCTGGAGTGAAAGTTGGGCCAAATGCAGCTATAATGACCAGGCGTTCTATTCGGGTTATCAAAGGTGCCAGAAAAATGAAATATTTTTTTCTGGATAAAAGCACAATAGAAATAGTCGCACGCAATGTCAGATAACAGCTACATTGTTGAAAGCTTGTGGCAAGGATGGATTTCTTTCAAGAGCTTGAAAATAATATTCCAATGCTTTTGCATGTTCTCCATTACTAGTATGTATCAGTCCTATGTTGTAGAGTATATAGGGCCACCTTTGTATGCCGTACAATTTCACGCAAGCCAATCAACAAAGGGCATCCCCTGTCTGAAGCTACTCCCCTTCATTAGCTTTCTCTCAACCCCATCCCCACCCCCACCCCCACCCCTATCACCTGGAAACCAAAGATTCTTAGTAGATTTGGCCTGTTTTCGGCAAGGACGGTACAGGCCCAATCTCAGAGCTCAGGTTTGAAAAATCTCAGCCCTTCGCCATCTGCAAGACAGTTTGGGTGTTCACAAAAAAAACTCGTCCTGCCGAGGGTTGACCTGCAAGCCTACTAAATCCATATCTCACCAGGGCCATTCCCTCAATTCACCTCAATTCACTCCGGTCAAGGCGATGAGCAAGCTGAGGAAACAACTCCAAGCCTCCAAGGTGATTTTTCTTCTCTTGGAAGGTGAGTGGTAGTGTCACTCTGCTTCGTCCCCCTTACGTAGGTGGGGTATGAAGGAAGCAACCGCAATAAAATTAACACCGCCAATTCTTCAGCCAGTACAGCACATGGCTGCCATGCTTTTCTGATTCTCAGGACAGCAAATACACTTTCAAATTTCAATACCGACACCCGGCAGATTGCTGCACCGGAACACCACATACCTGCATTATGTGCCACTCTTCAAACTCGTCAAATATCTCAAGCCGCTCGATCCTGCACACGCCGCATATAAAAATTGACAACGCAACCCATGAAAGCGAAGAAAGCGATCAGACAAGCGTCTTCGAAAACCAAAAAACTCACTTGAAGAAATCGTAGTAGTAAAACAGGTGTCCAAGGAGTTGGGGTATCAAATAAACTCTCGGGTAATGGTTGGATAGTATGGATGCGGCGCATCCCGTGCACGGGGTCGCGGCACATGCGGCACAGAGCGCACGCGCATGCATGTGCGCGCATGTGATGCGGAGCATCACCAAAAAAAAAAAAAAAAAAAAAATGGAAAGGACAGGGTGGGGTGGCCAAACATGCCCCTCGCTTCTGAAAATCAAACTGCAAGACGGAAAAAAGTTTGGACCGCCCCATACCCCAACACTGTGAGCACATCTGTGTGTGTGTTGGTGTGCATGTACTAATTGTGTCCAGTCTCATTTCCAAAGGGCCCCTTCGAATTAGCAAGGACCGCTCGTGGAGCAGAGATAGACATTAGACTTGTCTGCGTGGGCCGATAATATATAGTCTGGATTCGAATTCAGGTCTGTGCATCACAGTTACGGGTCACTTATTCTCTGTTTTCTCGTTTTTCTTTTCTTAGGAATATGTGCATTGGCCCTAAGGGCCTCTACTCACCACATGCACAAAAGACAAAACATATGGCGGCGTATTATTCCACGTTCTAGCAGAAGATTCATTCTAATTCTGCACATTTGGTGAGACCTGCAGCCAAGCCCTGAGAATCACGCGCAGAGACCAAGAGGGCCTGACTAAGTGAGCAACCCGTAACTGCTGAAACACATACCTGAATACGAATCCTGAGCAGCCAGCTCTTGCTCCACTTCGTATCCACTGCCTGCCTCGATTTTGGTGGAGGGTCCTTGCTAAATTGCTGTGAGGACCCTTCAGGTTACCTGCATGGGCCCTCTGATACATGTGAAGGGGATCCTTTGTTCTCTCTCTCTCTCTCTCTATATATATATATATTGTCACATCACTACAAACTAAAAGAGCGCACTTTGCGGAACAAAGAATAAAAGCAAAAAACGGGCACAGTGATAACATGCAA